ATGCTAAAGATTTCCCAGCATTTTCGAAAAAAAAGTCCACGCCCTTCTGGTTTTTTTTAAAAAAAAAAAAAAAAGAAAAAACAAACCTGAAGCCCTATTTTGACAGTTTTTTTGAAAATCAAGAAGCTTTGGTGGAGGTGAAACTGGTGGATTATACTTGCAATGCATTCCTTTTCATAATTTTAAAAGCAAAAAATAACTTTATACCAAAATCTTGAAAACATAGAATTTCACTATTAGGAAATCTTATGAGACAGCTGATAGATATCTACTAAGTACCAGCTCTATGAAGCCCTATTTTGACAGTTTTTTTGAAAATCAAGAAGCTTTGGTGGAGGTGAAACTGGTGGATTATACTTGCAATGCATTCCTTTTCATAATTTTAAAAGCAAAAAATAACTTTATACCAAAATCTTGAAAACATAGAATTTCACTATTAGGAAATCTTATGAGACAGCTGATAGATATCTACTAAGTACCAGCTCTAGCAGTCTCCTACTTCAACAACCTGAGACAGAAGATTTATTTTAAACTCAGCAGTGGTTGCATTATTTCCAACCTTTCAAATGACATATCCTCAAGAAAGTGTGATAAAAGATGCACTTTATTACTTGGCCTTATGTTCAATAAATTGTTCTCATTACGCTACCATCTCCACAAGTACAGGGAGTAACCATGGTACGCGTCTAAGGTGCATGTACATAGGAAGCTTCGTGATACAGATGTCGACGTCTTGCGCTGCATGAGCCTTTTGTGCTGCCCCTCCATCCCAAAACCTCCTCTACCTTGCTGGGGCAATCAGCAGCAGCGGACATGAGGCACCAAGCTGGGATACTGTTTTGTTTAGACTCAGAAAGATTCCTTCTTCAGAACTGAAATTAAGATGACCCAATTCTAGCAATTTCCCTTCTTTTTTCTCATTAGCTCTCTGAATGATTCTATTTTGCTTAACAACTAGCAAACCTGCACACACTGTGCTCCAGGGAAGGACCCATCTATGTGCAGTACCCAGCACCGAAAGATCCCAGATCCAACTGTTAACATAGGACAAATAGTTTGTAACAAGTTGACTGGCCATCTGTAACTCTCTTGAATAAATTAGTCTAGAGGTGGTTTCTATCAAAATGACAGTGTCTATGAAGGACAGTTTTATTTATCTAGGATATATTTTGTAGAGTAGGAAAATGCATCTGTAAAACTGGCAAATCCTTGACAGAATGGGGATATGCCATAAATACTGCAATTTTAGCTTCAATTAAGAAGCCAACTTCTCAGATGAAAACTCATTTTTTTAAAAACCTCTTCTCCCTCCACACACAATATAAACCGTTTGTGGGGATTCATCACTACAAGCACTTGAAATCACTTCTGCCTCCAAATTCATCTGTACTGAAATGCATGACCCGCACTACAGCCAGTACTGTGAAAGATGCTGAACGGACTGGAGATGAGAGTCACTGAACAGCAACGGCATTTGGCAAGTTCTTGTCTCCAAGGCTTATGCTCACACCACGGTACTCACCCTGTATCTGAAAATAGGAAAAATCCGTGAAGAGTTATCAACCACTGGCAATGTGGGGTTTATTTTCATCGTCTTTAGGCTACCTCAGTTCTTTCCTTTCTACAACTACTAGCATATAATGCAGTCCATAGACTGCATGACTTGTTAAGAGAAATATACATCACAATGTGAAGGTCTAGGAGAGGTTTGATTCATTGGATTCAGGGTTCTTTCAGCGCTTCAGGTTCTTTTCCAGTGCTTTCAGTGTTTCAGATTCTTTTTTTTTTCCAGTGCTTTTTTATTTAATTGGGAAAAAGAAGAGCTATACAAATAAACAATATCCTATCAGAAGATTATCTATCAAATACAATTAACAAATTTGGCCTTAGACTAAAACAAGTCAGTAAGTCATGAATATTAAAAAGTCATACCAGATGGCAGGTCATCCGAAGGAAACTCAAACAACTTGGATTTGTAAACAGAGTGGAAATGGAAGTCATCCTGAAATAGTAAATAATTGCATGTATTAAACCTGGATAAACTAATCCATCTTATGAGCATTAAATAGACAGTTCCAAAGGTCCTTGTTATCCAACACCTACACTAGTGAACATGCAAGTTGCAAAGCACCGTTACTCTACACTCTTCTCCTTTTCCCAACTGTGATGTGATCGCTAATGCCTCAGTTAATGAACTTTTATTTGAAATATCTGAGTACATCCAACAGAGTGGCTGAGCACTCTTAGAGCTAGGCTTAAGAGAGCTGCCCAGGAAACATCAATGAGAGTCATAGGAGCTGTTGAACTGGAGTTGAGGCTGAATGAGGAGGAGAGGGATGTAATAAATCCAGAGCAGGAAGTTCCAGAGAAGGGGACAGGGCACTCGCAGACTTCTCCTGCTGGCTCCAAGAGACCCTGAACACCCTCTGGAACTGCACTGCTCTACATCCAAGTGTTACAGAGTACACACATATACACATACCACTGCCTAATTTTTGGAGGTCTACTTTTGTCTGTGATGATGAGGACTCACATATGAGGTAAATGAATTGGCAATGAGGGGATGACCCTTTGGTCCCAGAGCCTTACGCCTACCCTGTACCCATGAATGTCTGTATTCAACAAACTACACAGCAGGACTACTATAAGTTCTACTTACATCTGAAGTGTAGTTTTCATCTGGCTCAATAAGGTAAGTATGATTTCCATCATAGAACATCCCACTGTCAAAAGCAGGAAATGTAAATACTGATTTAATAAACAAGTACTAGTGCAACATGGAAGTAAGTTTAAGAAATTCATATATTTTAAAAATGTAAATATTTAGAAAAGGAAGCAGTTAAAAATGGTTTCAGGAACTGAACCTAATTCTGAGTCAATCTTTTGTTTCTTCGCTTCAGAAAGAAAGATATTCTCTCCCATGGTGATATAGACTCTTCTTTCTTCCCCAAAGCTTCTCTACAACACATATAAACACCACAAAAATTGGCTAATTTAGCCAAGTGAAAATCCAGTTCAGAGCCCCCACTCCCATGCAAGAGAGATCTACCTGCAACAGATAAATAAGGGACCTGTCTTTAGGAACACGCGTATTTGGAACATGTGCACAGCTTTCCCCCAAATAAAAATATTGTTGAATTGAATTGATCCTTAGGTTTTAATGGTTTTGGTTAACTCTTTCCTCAGTAATTTCATATAGTACCAAGTACAAAGGGCAGTATGGGCTCTTTTGGGCAGAGGGCTCTTTTGGGAATTTCGGCAATAATAATTATGACAGATGGTCTTTTCTTTTTAAATTGAGTTAGTTTAAGTTTATATTTCTATGAAGCTAATGGCTATATGCATTATCACATCAATATGGACATTATATGATGTTCATGATAAGGAGATAGGAAACCCCATCAGACAGGCTTCCAATGGGTTGTGGTGAGGAGAGATACAAAGGAGCAAGCCTTCTGCCATACCCATGGTTCTGGCCAAGTACTCGTGGTCTCTTTCTTAATGGCATAAAACCCACAGAAATTTGAAGGTCATTCACGATAAGCACACTGCTATGTATCTCAGAAAATCTGTCACCTTCCTTGCCTACACACAATCACCAATTTTCCATATTAAATTCCAACACACAGTTCAACTCTAAATGAAGAACAAACTGAACTGCTAAGGCTCTCTAAATGGATGAAGACAGTCTGTGACAATAACACCAGATTCTTTTGCATTACCACTCGAATGTACAGCAAAGATGAGGTCCATTCCTGCAGGGATGTTTTCTATTAAGAGTTACCTCACATCTACTTAGGTAAAGAGTGTACTGAGGTTCAGTCTTTAACATAATGCAGGATGCACAAGCGTGGTCAAATTGCACCTTAAAAGAAAGTGTTGATACAGACATTACTCTGTAAGAGCATAAAGCCAAAGGGCATTTCTTGTATCACTACCACCCTGATCTTCAATCAAATCAGCGTTTTTTTTGTAATAATTTTGCCTTTATTGCAGTGGCATACACGCATGGTTGGGATTAGGCTGTATCAGCATGTCCCTTTCAAAGTGCCACTACCAAGGGCTTTAAACTTGGCCATAAATATGAGCTGTAAGTTCAAACTTGGCACATAGTACACAACAGCAGCATGAAAGCAAGATTATTTATTTATTTAGATTACTCTTTAGCAAACTTTTAGGCATCAAAAAAAACCCACCAGAATTATAAACAACAAAACCAGACACTTTTCTTTTTTCTTATGCAGCTTTTTTTTTTTAATCAGCAAAACTGATTTTGGTTCTGCACAGGACCAGATGCAGTCAGTAAAATACTGTCATTCTTTTCCTGACTACTAAGAAATATAAGCATATATCAAGCCTGTAAACCACTACAGCTATTGATGAGCATACTTCTCTTAATATCATTCACTTATGGGGTTAACCATGTACCATTCACAGAAGCAGCTTGGGTTACTGATTGTATAACATACATCAAGTGTGATCATGACTATATCTACAGTATAAAGCTGTTTCACCTTTCAAATTACCGGTGCCTATTCTTTAAAAATAAATACTGTCTACACAGCTTAAGATAAATATTCTAGCACCTGCTGAAGCTTCTTTGCCTGGGAATAAGACAAGATTCGGGGACATCCTGCAGCTCTTAATCAGGCAAAACTTCCTTCCCTCTAATTGAAATTTTACCTAAGCACAGTCTGCCAAGATGAAGCGCTATCAGCAAACAGCTTCTCATGCGACTGTTGCACCCAGCAGCACTGACCTCTGATCAAGTCACTCAACAGTGACAAGAACAATAAGTCACGGCTGACCTACAGATCTGACTTGCCCACTCAAAGCGTTCATGGCTCTTTTCCAACTAACTTCGATAGTCCAGTGCTCTGTGAACAAATCACACGCTCACGGATGTGTTAGAGAGAAAGCAATAGCAACACACGGGCCATTTCAAAAACCTGAATTTTGATTATGTATATTCTTCAAACAAACAAATTTGTAGTCGTGAAAGTCCGATTTGCAGTAATAACAGCAGTTTTTATATTCACCACCAGTGGGCAGCAAAATCATAGACCAACCTGGTGTCCGTGCAACTCGCAAGACAGGACTGCAAGTCGTGCCTGACTATAGCTTATTTATATCCCAGCAACCAGTGTGTTTTGCATTCAAAGTTTTTTGTGTTAACTCATAGCAAACTGTGGTTACTGCATATCCCACAGAAAACAAAAAAAAAAATCCAAACAAAATGGCTCACTCTGAGTTAAGGTTGCAGAGACACATTTTTCATTAGAAAAGTCATTAAGAAGAGAAGACATTCGTAATTTTAAGTATTCTGTCAGCCAGTCATCTGATTAATTTAACTAATAAAAGGAAGACTGCAACATAGACATTACCAACAGAAGAACTCATAATTTATGATTAAAAAACCACAACATTTTCTCACATGTATGAAAAATTCTGCTGTTACTGGCCAAGATTGAGGGGTACTAACAAGTAAGAGAGGAGATTAGCATGAACTTTGGGAATATGAAGCTTGTTATTCTAGTAAAGGCATCTGTTCTGTCTTATGCACTTCCTAAAATTCATGAAAGCAAAGCTCCTGCCCTGCAGACCTTATTAGAAGATTAGACTCTCCCCAGATTCCCTTATTCCAGCAAGACGCTCCAAACTATGGTTGGAGCTAAGGAGCTCTGATTGCTGGTGTGAGTTTCTAGCAATTATTTAGCATTTAAAATCGACTGTGGAGGAGCTAGCTGTAATGATGGAAATGCAGTGTCAGAGAATGTGAGTTTAATACAGCTCAGGAAAACATTACTTTCTCATACTGGATGTTGGAATTACCAGCCTGCTATAGTAAGCTTCATATTGCATTTTGTGTGAAGGATAACTCTGCTGAAACTTTGTTGTATAAGAGAAAGGAAAAAAAAGATACCTCTCAAGGGAGAGCTGAATTATACAGGGAAAAAATGCAGCTTTCATCACATAACTGTGTTAGAAAGGAACGATTTGAATATCAGGCAATTTAAGAATACAGAGCAGCAGGAGGGTCAGTCTTAAGAACAAACCCACAAAAGGAGGGCAGGAAAGGGCATGCGCAGGCTCTCCTTCCTTTCTGCTTTTTCTCCTAGGAGTTAGCAGGGGCCAAGACCTAATGGATCACTGCTAATGGAAGCCATGCAGTGGCTCAGGATGTATTAGGATGCTACTATTTTTAGGCTCACTGTCCATACTGAAACTGGGCTCAGGTTTCTTGAGCTGCTCAACCTTGATCATAAAAGAGAGAAATACAGCTGTAAATCAGACAAGTGCAAGGATGACAAGCCTTCTGCATGCATTCTCCCCCTTCCTAACAAAGGACGTACAAATATAAAAGAAAGACACTACTTAAATATGTGTACTTATATGGCTGATACCAAAACTACAGAATAGTTGGAGACAGACAATAAGCTGAAGATTTCCATCAGCTAAGCCCTGCTTCCTCAGAAAAAGGCAAAGCTCAGGTAATCTCCACACAGGCTTGCTTGCTGCCATGACTTTTCAAGCTAATCTCAGTATCAAAAGCGCTGAGATTCCATAATTCCCAGATTCAACAGACACTGAAGTTACTTGGTTGCTCTGAAAACCTGACAAGCATCTTTCAATAGTGCCAAAAGTAGACAGGTCCAAAAGCGGTACAATTAACACACAGCTCTGTGTAACCTTCAGATAACAGACGCTTTAATTATATTATCACTAAAATTATGTACTTTAAAAAAAATTATTATTGCACAATTTTATATCCTTTCTTCCAGATTTTCCAAGATTTTACTATATCAAAGGTATTATCCCACGCACACAGCTTAAGGCCAGCAATTCTGTGAAGAAAATGATCAGGACAAGAGAAACTCTAAACTGACACTTTCCTTTGTAAGAGTAGAAAAGAAAGATAAAATACATATTGTAGCAACAAGAAAAGAACATAATTTCCAAATGGTTCACGTCAATACTGGCAGTATTTTTTATTCTTGTAGAACAGAATGTTTTCAGCTACTTTTACACTTCTATCTCTATAATAAATTATCTTAAAACAATACCTGGCCACTGTCGTATGTCCTCAGTTTAAAAAAAAAAAAAGAAAAGAAACTTGCATGCTTTGTCAGTGAATTCTGAAAACAAACAAACAAGGCTTTTGCAAGGCTCAAATTAAACCCTTTTTTTCTAAAGATTGTTGAGTAGTTAATATTGGTGACAAACTAGCAGGAAAATAAATAGCACTTATTTTACTATAAAGAGCTTTATTTTGCTTAAAAGACTAATAAGCAAAGGCCAGTAAAACCAAAACAGCAGACTTACTGTAATCCATGGCATGTTGACAAGGCAACAAATGATACAGGATTTCCTCGAATTTCTCCCTGATAATAGCAATGTTCTCCTCCCTGAAATTGGAAATTGAGACCGTAAATCCACAGGACGTCCCACAGAATCACACTCCATCCTGCCAAACACTGCTTTTTCATAAATACATTGCCAACCCACTGACATGGCACCAAGAATTGACTATCACTCACAAGGGTGTTCATCCCATCTCCTTTTAGCCATGGTTTGGTACCTAGATAAACATCATCATTTTAACTCTCTCTACAGAATGGAGATATTTTCAGTGTGAAATCCCTAGCATCCTGAGACAGATTTCAGAGACAAATGACTCCAGAAGTGCTCATCTTTCTTCACTGACTAGGAAAAGAGTTGGAAATAAGGGGCTTAGACTCATCACCTGGTCTGCACATGGCTACATTGGGCAAGATGAACTCTGTTCTGAGGGTAAGGCAATTTCCTACTTCTGAGGAGAAAGCTATGCTTATCAAATAATAATAATACTTGATTAAAAAAGAGAACAATTCAGAAGTGCTCAGAAGTGCTCACTAGTGCTCCAAAACTAATGGAAACTTTAAGTATAACTAAGCAGTAAAGGAATCCAATGAAAATTAGTATTTGTCTCTTCTGCAAATAAAATACACACCTTTCACATCAAATCCAGCAGACCTTACTCAAAAAATCCCCCCTTAGTTTCACAGAAGTCACACCCATAGAGATGTAAGCCCTACTGCACGTGCACTGAATGTATTCAGTATGTATGCAAAATTAGGAAAACAATTCAAAATTCCCTTAAATTCTCACTGCCACTCTACCCTGCAGAGGAACTTAGCTAATAGTGCCTTGCCAAATTCAGCTATGTCGTATTACTGCACTACTGTTGGTTAAAGGTCTATGAAGAAGATTTTCAGCGCCTTTTTTTTTTTTTTAATAGCAACACTTTACTATTTCTATTTGCTACCAGCAAATGTATGAATAATCTACCTAGCCTAATGTATGCAGCCATGTGAATATTTCTGTCCATTTACTGCAGGGAGGGAAAGGCATTACAATTACTGCTTGCATAGTACAGAGTACAGTACTTGCATGATGCATAGTACAGTCATTTTAGACATCTGACATTAAATGCTCTTGGATTTTATTTTTCAAATATGAAAAAAAATTAATCACAATCAGGCAAAAGGCAATAGAATATGTTGGTAGTTTTGTGTTTTGATCAGAAAATCCTGTTCTGTTTTCTACAAGGCATGAAAACTATTTTTGAAATTAACTACAAAGTATGGGTGCCTCTGTTTTGAGGTGCTCTCCTTCAGAGAGTATAGGAGTTTGTCAGAGTGTGACTGCTCACAGGGAAAGAAACCTGATCTCAACCTGGTCACTGGAAATCATTAGTTCCTCCTCAAAATCTTCTCCGGAGCATTCATGCATGCCGTGCTGCTGTTGGACCCCAAAGCACTCCGTGCAGCGCACCTGGGGGCAGCTCGCAGCTGCCGTGACCAGCAACAGCAGCAGCAGCAGCGCTACAGAGAAATGCAACACCTGATCTGACAGACTACGAGTATGACACTATTTGGCAGGCTTGTTGCTTCACTCTGCGAGGAGAATCCCTGTGGCATATCTTCCGTTAAAAGTGTTACACTTTATTTTTTTTCCAATTTCTTTCAATCTCGTTATTTCCTCTCTTCTACATACCACTTCTTCCTTCCACTTCCTGCAGTGACAGCAGCCACCTCCACTGCCTATCCACCTCGGTGTCTTTTTCTCTGTGCATCTGGTGCAGATACAGAACGCCTTCACCAAACTGACCTGCAGAGTGACCATCGTGCTACCCACCATCGGCACCTCCCTACTAAGATGTCTGCAGGAAAACGCTACTGGTGCCATGCAGGTAATGTTCGACAGGCTGTGCTGATGTTTAACTGGCTCGTGGCCACGAGAAGCTCTGGGGCTGACCCTCCATACCAGGCTACAGCTGGGTGTCTGGCGGAAGATGTACAACCCACCACCCTTGGACCAGCATTTCTCAGGACCATCAAGCATTTGGGACTCGGAGTACAAGTGAAAAGGAGATGGTTTGAGTTTCTGCTTTGCACTCACACGCATTTTAGCCACCAGCATCCTAAGTTACATGGGATTTTAGACAGACTACATCTTACTTTGTTTTTCCTGAAACCTTGGCTCATTTTCTCTATTTTATTCTCCTTTTTTACACCTACTTACTTCCTGTATCTTAGTTGCTTTAAGCTCTCTTCATTTGATTTTTTCTTTCTTTCAGTCTGTAGGATGCCCCCCACTACAGGATCACAGTACTGCTTAAGGCTTTCAGGTCCTTACGGAATATATGAATAAAAAGTAAAGAAAGAGAGACTCCAGTAAGCTAATAACAAAACTAACAATCAAACTATATGGATGAGCTAAAAGCTTATGAGTAATAAAATACTCTCGAAACAGAACTCTTGCAGGAGTATTCCTATAAAAGATATAACTGGAGTAAACACATGAATATGGGAGTAATACTGAAAAGACTATCAGTAGGGAGTTGTACAGAGTTCTAGCTGCGGAAGGAATTTGGAGTAATTAGACAAATTGGTTTGTTCTCAGAAAATGTAGTTAATATGTACCAGAAGTAGAATCTCAGGCTCCATTAGTTTGCAAAACCATGTCTTTGTAACCAGGAGGAACATTTTTTCATACTAAGAATCCAAGTCTGTGGCTCAAAAGTGTGTTTTGATCTTCTTAATGAGCATCAAATAAATGCCTCATGATAGTACCTCCAAATTAATTTATTCCATAATAAATCCATGAACAAATTTTTATGCATGCAGATCTAGAAAAAAGAAAAATATAAGAAAAACAGCTCCAAATTCTTGCCTAGGAAAAACATAATTCAGACACACAAATTCTATTCTATTCTATTTAATCAAATCAATTCAACTCATTGAACTACTGAAGTTCACAGTAATTCTGGTGGAGACAGAAATATAACTCTGATCTTCCCAGTCTCGGGGACCGATTCTTACCACTACAAAACATTTATTTCTACACGCTAACATCTGGGGGATATTTTTTACACATGGACTTACGTTCCTATCAACATAATGTAAGTCACCTCAAACCAGTTAATAAAATGTAAGGGGTTTAAACAAAAATACTTTTTTTCAAGTACTTGATGCACTAGTGGTGTGGTGGTGGTTTTTTTTAAGAGAACTCTTCAGTGTAAGAAATCCTGCTGTCAGGATACTCCTGAATGAGTTCTGAGGATTGTTATAATCTCAGCAAGGAAATAAGAGGTGATGCAGTGAAACCAGATGGCACTAGCACTGGATGGCTCTGGGAAGAGTGATTGCTTAGCACTCCTTAACAGTGTCTCAAGGGGATAAAACATGCCAGTAACATGTGACACATGGTGGGGAGGGTGCAAATTGTATATTGTACTTTTGGGAGACTCGTTTTCAACAGTTCACAAAACCTGTGAAAAGAGAAGCACTTAAAGCTGCGAAGTCTGGGACTGGTTCTGTACTGAGAGTCAGGACAACTGAAGGGACTCCACAGGTCAATGTTTTCTTTAGAGCACATGTAATTTTGGACAAGCTGTTTACCGTCATTGCCTGCCTGTAGTGCTGAGGCTGAAATCCTGTTGGTTTTGACCTGTACTAAAGCTCCTTTACAGCTGTAATAAAATACACTGTACTACAGGAAGAATCGCAGTATATGGGAGATCTAAGACCACCAAAAGACTAAACATAATCATCACATCTATCTTCTTTTACTCTGCTCCTGGAAACACTCACTGAAGGACTGGGGTTGTCTCTCTTCTCTATTGGTATCTGTAGCAGTGAGACAGGAGCTGAAAAAAAAATCTTCATTTTTTCCTAAATATATTCTGGTCCCATATGAAAATTAAGACTTCCCCCAAGAGCTGAAATTAGCACCTTTACCAACAACAGTTCAGTCCAGAGCATCAAGGGTGTTTTGTGAAGAACTATTGGCTTCCTGTAGCTATTAGAGCCCCTCTCTGCTCTCTCAAAAGCAGGCAATAATTGCCCCTCTCAGCAAATCAAACCTCCACACTGGCCTTTGTCAGCTACTGGGGAATTGTTTAGTGTTAAGGTGAAGAGGAAATAAGACTGCTCTTCTAACATATGCCAGCCATCAGTGTGAGCCATCATTTACCCCCTTCTGCTCTAAAACTGAACCTGCCCAGTGTAGAGTCTGGGAGAAAATTAGGCTAAATATCATCTCCCATGAGACAAGGTCAGCCCGGTGACAATGCCTGTGACACAGGCCTGCAACACACACACACACAATATCCAAAGGCAGTCTAATGCTACAGCAGAGGAAAGTTCAACATTTTTGCCTCCACAAGGCGCACAGCCACTGTTCATGCTGTGGTTAGAACAATGCAAGGCAAATTTTCTGCCAATGCCCGTGGCACACGGTTGTCCGTTTCGTCGGTTCAGTAAGTTCTCCTTCATGAAACCGCTCAGCCTTACTGGTGACTTCCAAGAGCAATACAGAATATACAGATCTTTAATAAGAAGTCTATTGATTTGGGGAGCTAAAAATGTAATAACATCCTACCAAAAAAAAAAAAATCAGAATGCCCCCAGGGTCAATTAAAACAAATGAATCACTATGATAGTGGTCAGTTTATGACTTAATCTTCATCTTGATGCTTAAGTTGGATAATTATAGCAAAATCCTGAATTAGGGGTATCTTGCCCTAACTGCTACAGCTCCTCGCCAACAAGCATGCAATCCTTTTTGCCCTTGTCAATCCGAGTTTCCCTGCAGTCTGTCTGGGTAGGTAGTGTGGCAAAGATACTAAAAAATGAGAAGGCAGAGATGTTAGCAATGCAAGTAAAATCCGTCCCCACTTCTATCTTTTAAGATAGTTTGTCCCTGCCCAGAGAGGCACCAGCTGCTGAGTAAACACAAAAGAGAAGAAAAACACATTAACCGATATTCACAATGAAGGGGGGAAATAAGCAAAGCAAAAGAACAGCCACGAGAGTCAGTGATGGCGGCGGTTCACTCTTCTCTGCAGTCTCAGTGAAGAAAG